GATTTGTTGCCAATCTAGAGAAACTTAGCTTCGCAACAACAAAGATAACGCATTCATTTATTTTTGCCAATTAAATCATGCTTAATCCTTTCTGGAATTTTTTCGAGGAAATAAGTGTTTAAGATTTACTTCGTAATTTTCAATATAGATATTTTGAGTTTTTATGTATTTTTGCCTTCTCGCGAAGTGAGAACTGAATTAATTGAATGAGAAATACTCAATCGTCTGTGAAAAACTGTTTCCTTTCTGTTTTATTTGCTAAATTTCTTTTATACATCATTCTAGCTTTATTATAGTATTTCAATAGAACATATGGCAACGATTAGATAATTCTATTCTTTAAATAATATAAATTTTGTGCATTATGAGTTATAATATGAACGAAATATAATACTGTTAAGTGAATCTAGCGCCAGAATGTTACTATGGTAAACAAATATGGTAAAGTAATATGGTAGAGTCACTATGGTAAAGTAAAACTTCAAAATATGAAATCGACAATAAAACAAATTTCAAATTCAAATTAGGGCTTCCACATGCCCATATTCTATGGAAGATTACGTTATTCAATTTTTACCGTTTTTTGTCGCGATGTGAGAAACATAGATATATTTATGCATATTCTTCATTATTTAATTTCTTTAAATATAATGTAGGGCTGTAACATTTGCTTGCAACAATTTTAAAAGTGATACGCCGTTTATAGTGATTCGATGCAAAATCGCAAAACGAAAATAATTATATGTTTAGAGGATAATTATCCCCAAAAATATATTTTAATACTGAAGGCATCTTCACGACTTGGAATAATATTCATGCCTACAGCAGACATTAAAAAGAAGCCAGTCTTTTAAGGAAGTAAAAAGACTTTCATTTAAACTTTCTAATTTTTGTGTGACTTTTAAGTGTGTGAAATTTCTACTGTTCAATTTTCTTAAATTTGTTGGTAAGTTATGACTCAAAAACAACTTCGGCATTGCTATAACATTGCATACAAGCTACGTGTGATTGCATATGCTAAAGAACATGGAACATAAAGGAGAAGTGGAATAGCTGCATGCAGTTTTTAGGTTACACCATCAGGTAGAAGGAAGAGCCAAGTCTGTGAATGGGTCAAAGCTTTATGAAATGCTGTAAAAACAGAGACAGTGGTTAAATCATCTAAGAAGTGTGGTATTAGTAATGCACTGGATGGTACAGATGGCACTTTGTTGTGTGAGGATTCGGATGCTGATTTAGAAGAGGTTTCAAGTGACTCTTCATTTAGCGCTAGAGATGACTGTCTGGGTTTCGACGAAGGAGATTAAAAGGTGTTCTTTCCCAGATAGATTGGGTGTCTGCAGAAAATATTGCTTCAACTTTATATTTAAAATACTGTAAATTCATTATAATCATCAGTAAAAGTTTTATCCTTAAAAAATGTGTATAAGAAAGAAGGTGAGTCTTATAGGCCGGCAAATACGTTTAATGTTCGCCAACAACTATTAAACGTTAATCCACAGCGTGCCATGCTTATTTTTAACAATGATACCAATGAAAATTTCATTTCAAATATTGTAGCCGTAATCGTAAGAAAAGATAACCATGTAAATTATAATTATTATTTTTTGCACAGCAGTTGAAACTGATAGACGTTGGTCGAACGTATCGAAAATTCGTTTAATTTTTGCAAAATATGAAATCGACAATAAAACAAATTTCAAATTCAAATTAGGGCTTCCACATGCCCATATTCTATGGAAGATTACGTTATTCAATTTTTACTGTTTTTTGTCGCGATGTGAGAAGCATAGATATATTTATGCATATTCTTCATTATTTAATTTCTTTAAATATAATGTAGGGCTGTAACATTTGCTTGCAACAATTTTAAGTGATACGCCGTTTATAGTGATTCGATGCAAAATCGCAAAACGAAAATAATTATATGTTTAGAGGATAATTATCTCCAAAAATATATTTTTAATACTGAAGGCATCTTCACGACTTGGAATAATATTCATGCCTACAGCAGACATTAAAAAGAAGCCAGTCTTTTAAGGAAGTAAAAAGACTTTATAAAAAGAAATGAACAGAAACTTCATCTTCAGCTGCAGAAATACAAAAGGGGGAAACAGAGCCAGTGATAAGACAATAAGAATGAGAAAAAAGAAAGTCAAGCTGCTGGTGCCATCTATTGATGAAAATAAAATAATTTGTTTAATCCTTTGCGGCACAGTGTGTCCGGTCTGGACATACCTAAAAATTTCCTTCTGTGTGCACAGAAAATTTGAATGAAAAAGAATTTATAGGTTACTCTGAACCTTCTTTATTTATAGTAGATGCTAGCTGAACACAAACCAGTCCATATATTTCCTAGTCCATATGTATGTACCTAGTCCATATATTTACTAGTTCTAGCTACATTCTTTACATTTAAAATCATCCAATAGATTTAATTTTAATTAATCCAATAGATTTAATTTAATGTAACAGAGTGCTAAAAATTTAACTTTATTCTATAACATGTGTTCTGTTAAACATTTCAGATTTCCTAAGGATTAATAACATCTTTTCTACTCAGTTAATCGTGTTCCATTTTAAATTCTTAAACATCTTTTTCTTAACTTTACATCTCTATTTAATATTATCCATTTGCTTGATGTTTTATTGTGTATCACAGTTCATTACAATGTATATTATGTATATAAAAAAAATCTGAAAGGTTTCAGATTTTAAATGACGTCCAAAGGAGCGTTTTATTAAAACATTTTGTGTGTTACTTTTGTTTATTAAATATCATGTTCTTTGCACTTAAACCATAAAATTCAGTTCAACAGCAAATTTTAAAACGAACATATCTTTATCTTTAGAATTTCCGATACACAGTTCCGCGCGCTGGAGATAAAAAGGTTTTCTTCCCCTCTTCCTGTAGAGTGTTGCCATGGCTCGCTCTTAAATCGTTGGGTTTGTTAATGGTAAAATTCGTTTTAAGTTTTACAAATTATGAAATCGATAATAAAACAAATTTCAAATTCAAATTAGGGCTTCCACCTGCCCATATTCTATGGAAGATTACGTTATTCAATTTTTGATGCCTTTAGGTGCCATTGTTTTATTCCAATGCGAGAAACATAGATACATTGATGCAGTTTCTTCATTATTTAATTTCTTAAAATATAATGTAGGGCTGTAACATTTGGTGGCAACAATTTGAAAAGTGATACGCCGTTTATAGTGATTCGATGCAAAATCGTAAAACGAAAATAATTACATGATTAAAGGATTATTATCCTCAAAATGTATTTTAATACTGAAGGCATCTTCATGACTTGGAATAATATTCATGCCTACAGCAGACATTAAACAAGCCGGTCTTTAAGGAAATAAAGAGAGTTTATAAAAAGAAATGAACAGAAACTTCATCTTCAGCTGCAGAAATACAAATGGCGAAACAGAAGCCAGTGATAAGACAATAAAAATGAGAGGAAGAAATTCAAGCTGCTGGTGCCATCTATTGATGAAAATGAAATAATTTCCTTAAAAGTTGAGGGTACAGGTGGATTGGAATTGGTATCATTAACTAGAACTAAAAGATTTTTATGAATTTGAAACGCCTCTAGAAAATCTAATTCGGCCACGGATTATGCTTTTTGAATAATTTTAGAATAATAAAAGGGAAAATAATTGAATAATAAAAATGGAAAGGGGGGTTTTGTGACCAATAGTATTGGGCATCAGAGGATTTATGTATTTCCTTTTTCCTAACATATGCCTCATATTCCTTAGCGTAAAATTTTATGGTTGTCTTTGTTTGACCAAAGCAAATTTAATTCCATTGCCAAAGAATTATTTATATCTCAGAAGTTCATATCCGGAACGACGCGAAATTCAATTTTCGATTTAATTTACATTGGTAAAACTAATTGAGCCTTAAATTTTCCGCTAAGGAACATGAGGCATATGTTAGTTGAAAAGAAGCACATAAATGCTCTGTTGCCCAGTCCTGTTGGTATCCATATTTTCCAGTTTTCTGCAGCCAAAATTATTCAAGAAAAACATCTTCCATTAGCGAATTAGATTCTGTAGAGGCGTTTCGCGTTCATAAAAATCTTTAAATTCTAGTTAACGATCCCAAATCCAATCCATCTTTATCCTCAGCTTTTAAGAAAGCTATTTCATAGTTATTTTCCTTTTATATCGATAGATGGCGCTCATAGCTTGACTTCATTCTTATCGCGTATCTGATGACTAGCTTCTCTTTCCTCATTTGCACTTTTGCAGCTGGAGAATTTTCCTATATTTAAATCTTCGAAACTAGCTCTACAAATTTATGAATATTACGCTGCTTCTTGTTGCTTTGAATACTCAAAATTGAATACTTTGAATACTCAACTCAAAATAGAAGACGAAATTAGCCTTCCTTTAATGGAATAAATAAAAATATAAAAAGACCATAAATCAGTTTTAAATAAAATTATGAGTGTCAAAAGCTGAATAAACTTAAATTTGACCGTTATTGAACACTTGAAAACCACTCTTGTCAACTGTACAATGTTAAACAAACCTAAGTTTAGGTGCGGAATTTTTGATGAAATTTTGCATTTCTTGCACAATAGCGTTAGGACGGCTGCCACTTTCCCCCCATTTTCAAGCAATATTAATTTTGGTAACATTTAAGCTTTATTTTGAATTAATTTCAAATTATTCCTTAATAAATAGCGCTAATGTGCGTTGCACTTCATTTATGGTGATTGAAGGAAACTATTAATAATTTGCTTTTATATATTAGTAATATTTTTGCTTTTATATAAAAGAACTTTCCTATTGTTTTTGTCTTCCTGTTGTTTCTATTGTAATATATATATATATATTGCAATTGAATATATATATATATAATATATATTTCTGGAAATTTATATAAAAAATTTATATTGAAATTTTTAGTTCAATGCATCACAGATTTAGAAATAATGCATTCTAATTTGTGTATGATTTTAACGGAATCTCTCTTTTTACAGTTACATTTTACTCCAATACCATATACACGATGGGACTTGTTTCAGTGACTTCCACTGGCTTGAGCTGTGAAAACAATTTTCTCTTGTCTCAATTAGAGAAACATCTTGAAAGAAAAATATCCAACAGAGTATGTGTTATTTTTCTACGATTTAGTTTCTCTGATATTTTAATATCTTATTTCAATTCCATTGACTAAAACTTACGGTAAGTTCCCATTTAACCAAAGTGATAACCTAATTTTGTGTTAACCGTGGCCGTCCTTTTAGGTTACTTCGATAGTACATGCAGAGCAGGAATAATCCTTATTATAATTAACAGAAAAATACTATTAATAATTTACCTGCATTTTTAAACAGTTTATTGTGAAGAAAAAGTTCATTTGGTTATGTAAATAAAACCAACACTCAAAACAAGAATGCACCTCCAGAGTTAAAGTCCCGGAATAATATTAATACTTGCAGATACGCTCAGAATAACTAATAATTAATGATATGTGTAGAATAACTTTTTCATCAAAGCTGTTAATTTTTCAATTTAAAAACTGTTAATTGTTTGACTTGTAGAGACATTAGGATTTTATGGCAGGAAGAAGTGAAAATTGCGCAATGCCCTAGCCAGGAATCAAACCACGAACCTCTGGAATACGCGCCAGCGAGCTGACCACTACACTACGAAGGCCTGCTAAGAAGGCGGGAGAAATACCTTATTGATTCCCCCTTTTTAAAGGGCGACTGAGGTTTAGGGGACCCGATCGCCAAATCCTATGTGTGGAGAATCATCATCCACCACCCTTTTAGTTCGGGCGTCCCTGTGGAGACATTAGGATTTTTTGGAACAAGAAGAGAGGAAAAATGTGCAACGCCCTCGCTTTTGGGAATCAAACCACGGACCAGTTTCCCTTAAAAAAGTCCTCCACGAAGGCATCCCTCCCTTAAGGCAGATAGCCCTAACTAAACCAAACCTAAAGTGTGATCTGACCATTGAGCCCTTCGTAGGTCTGAAATCACCTTTCGATAAAATAAAAATTGTTGTTATTTCAGGTGGCTGAACGCTTGCTAATTAATGCACTCTTTAGGAATGGCCCCGCACATCGGCCGTGTCATCAACGCTCGCGAGAACGGAGAAAATACGTCATTTTTACGGATAACATTGCACAGGGTGGATGCGAAGAAAGACCATTCACATCAGTTGAAGTGTAGTCGATTTGCATCTTCTCTTCAATTCATTTTAATTTTCGTGGCCAAATCAACTGTATCCACTTTCCTGGTCCGAAGAAATTTCGGTAATAAGTTATTACGTTAGACGGCCAGCAGACATCTTGCTCCTCCCTGGAATCCAACAGCGGAGTGATTGCTTAAAATAGGAAAAGCTTCACACCAAATGATCTGAACTCACGTCAAATAGAAACCTGTGTAGTTTTAAGAAAAATCCGAGGTTGCTAGCTGTGCGGTAGAGAATGGAAGACATATATTGCTCGCTTAATATCCGTGAAATGGTATGCATTCCGGATTTGACTTTATAGTTTAAGATAGCGTCTCTGTGGGTGGTCCTGTAGGTGGATTTAATACGCTTTCGGAGGAAACACGGACTCTAAAATAAATATACGAAGCTTTCATGATTGCCGAAGTCTTTATACTCACCAAATAGAAGTGACAAGTCCTCATTCTTGCATTTGCACTTAACTGGCATGAAGGTTTAACTGCGTTTCTTACAAGTAAACCTTTCCTTCTTTGATACCGGTTTCACGGAAACCCATCCGAATTCATTTTCATTTCTTTTGCTTGTATTTTCAGATTGATTTTAGAATTCATTTTACCTTCAATAGCATTTTCAGTTTTGAAACAAAGGGTGCATAAAATATCCATTTCACCATCTGTACTAGCATGGCCACAGAAGGTATAAATTTTTTTACGACACCTTTCTGCATATCTTTCTGCATATTTCTACATCACTTGTTTCCTTTGAACACACACAATAGGTATCAATGTAGAATAGAAGAGAAAGACGACAATGTGACAATCAAAATCGCTATAACAACCTTGTATTTAGCGTACATATATTAAAAGACTCAATCGATTTCGAGGGTAGCTAAAGGTCCCTCCTCATCAGGAGAACGATATTACTAGAAAGGGAAAAAAAGACGAAAAATAAAGCATCGGCAAAGGAGTCTCAGAAACACGTCGTCGTTATCAGCACTGCAAGTGGTCGCAACCGGGTTTTAAATCAGAGTTACACTGGCCGCCTACTTTTACTGAGCCAGGCTATCTGATCAAATCTGATCTGATTGATTCGAGGTTCAGACTTGGTGCGTGAAGGTGCAGTTGCCCCTCGCTCCCTATTTTTCGACTTTGCTGATTTCTTTGCGTTTTAGTCTATGTGTTTTATGTTTGATCAGATAGCCTGGCTCAGTAAAAGTAGGCGGCCAGTGTAAATCTGATTCAAAATCCGGTTACGACTACGTGTTTGCTGATAACGACCACGTATTTCTGAGACTCCTTTACCAATGCTTTATTTTCTTCTTTTTTCCCCTTTCTAGAAATTTCGTTCTCCTGATGAGGAGGGACCTTTAGTTGCCCTCAAAATCGATTGAGTGTTTTAATATACACTGGTGTGCAAAAATTAAGGACGAAGTCGAAAAATTAGCATATCAGCTGAACGAAGAGGCAGAGCGGACAGAAAGACCAATCAGGAGATTAAGTAACGTGCTGTACGGTAGCAAAAGCGCAGATATGCAGGTAGACGTAATGGGGGAGTGTCTGAGTAGTATAAAGCATGTTGTCGGTGTAAGATCAGTATTTCTGGCAAAGAGATTGCACGCCGTATAGCAGTTAAAATCACACCGACTTGCTGCCTCAGCGAGAAATGGTGAATAATCAATCTGTTAGACGACATCTGGATGCTTTTACCCGAGGTCGAATCATTGGAAGTTGGAGGAAGGCCGCAGTGTGACAAGTGTGGCTGCAGAGTTCGGAATTGCTCACAGCATCGTTTCACGACTTTGGAGACAATTTCAAAATACAGGAACAGCTATCCGGGGGGGATTAGTAGTGGTCTCCCACGAGGAACCACACCCGCAAATGACCGGTATATTGCCTTACAGGCCAGAAAAAACAGGCGGCAGACAGCGGGAGAAATCGCTAGACACACGACACAGGCGACTGGACGACCGATATCGCGTTTTACAGTGGCCAGAAGACTGCACGGTGGTGGTCTTTTTGCACGACGCCCTGTACGGTGTGTACCTCTAACGCCTGCCCATCGGAGAAGGCGTTCTCTGTGGTGCCGGGAACACCGGAATTGGAGAGACAATGAATGGGGACGAGTACTCTTTACAGATGAGAGCAGATTCAGTTTGAGTAGCGATTCTCATCGCATACTCATCTGGAGAGAGCGGGGAAGCTGCAATCATCCCTCGAACATCATTGAAAGGGACAGGTATGGAGGTGGCGGTGTTCTCGTTTGGGGAGGCATCATGCTTGGTAGTCGTACAGACCTTCACATCTTCGACGCAGGTTCAGTCAACAGGACCCGTTATTGTAACGAGATTCTTCTTCCATATGTGCGTCTTTTTAGAGGCGCTATGGGTCCGCAGTTCCTTTTCATGGACGACAACGCACCATGTCATCGCACAGTAGCTGCCGAACAGCTCTTAGAGAGTGAGGATATTGAACGTATGGATTGGCCGGCACGATCTCCGGATCTCAAGCCTATCGGGCATGTATGGGATTTTCTAGGCAGACGCTTGGCAGCTCGTACCTTACCACCAGTAACGATTCCGGAGCTTCGATTGGCTCTGCAAAACGAATGGGCAGCAATGCCTCAACAACTCATTGACACCCTCATTCTCAGCATGGGCAGACGCTGTGAAACCTGCTTAGCAGTCAGGGGAGATCATATCCCCTATTAAAGACCGGATGTTTGTTGCTGGACACCCATCACAGAGATGTTTCGGCCTTCATTCGCACTGCGCTCCATGCTACTTTTTCAATAAAGCTTCTTTTTATCCCTCTGATTTCTCTTTTAGTAAGTGTTGCTTACATTACTCATGTCTTTACGTATTGGGGATCTTACGGTATTAAATGTGTTGATTTGGAAAGCTTTTGTACAAAGTTATATTGAAAAAACCGTCTCGTCCTTAATTTTTGCACACCAGTGTATGTACGCTAAATACAAGGCTGTTATTGCAATTTTGAGGTATCAATCACTTCGGTAAGCATGTCTTGATCATGTTGGTTTAATCCGCTAGCCGACTATAATCTCATCCGCGTTTTTTGAAGCAGGCTCTTTTTCTTGCATAATCTGATTTAGTTTCAGCTTTTTTCATTGTTTGGAAACTTTCTATTACTGTTTCTAGCTGCTCGTCTGTATTTATATACGAATCGGAGATTTTCATACTTTGACGATTTTTTATTTGGCTTTTTATGGAATGCCTAGGAAATGTGCGAAATATGAATCATTTCATGCATTGCCGGCTAGTTTTAGGCATTATATAAAATTCCTAGGCATTCTACAGAATGCCGGATTTCAAACTTTGCCGGTAACATATATATAATATACAAATAATTACAATTTTTTAAATATAAGGGGCCTACCAGCGGTAATATCGCTGAACGATGGTAGTTCTGTCCGGGGCTCGAATCTCGGCAAGCGGGCGGCCGCATGGGCGCTTTCATGGCTTTCCCCATGTGCAACGTGTATACGAGCCTGTTTTCCTTAGAAAGCCCTACATGAAGGCATCCCTTTCCTTAGGCAGATAGGGTTTTCCGTAATCAAATAAAAGACACAAACCTTAATAAATTAAATTTAATATTTTTTATAAAATTTATTTATTGGAATTTAAAAAATACCGAAACATAAATATTTGCGTCATTTAAAGCATTTTTGTATCTGGACGTATATGTCTACAGCTTACGATTGCATAAATAAAGTCCGACGGTGTATATTAGATTAATCGTATAGCCCATGTGTCTCCTGAATATTCTTCATATTTCTAATACTAATGAATATTAATTTGAGCTTCGAAGTCTTTCAAATTATACGAGTAATTATTATTAGCCCAAAGGCCGTTACCCAGACGGGTTATTAATTTTATTTTAGCATTTTTCGTTGGTTCGCTATAAATCTCGGTTCACTTTTCATATTGTTGTCACCCAATATTATCGCCCTTCATTATATTTAAAGAAATTAAATAATGAAGAATCTGCGTAAATGTATGTATGTTTCTCTCATTGTGATAAAACAACAGTACCTATAGCCATCCGACTTTGAATAACGTAATCTTCCTTTGAATATGTGGAATCTGGAAGCCCGAAGTTGGAATTTGAAATTTGTTTTATTTTCGATTTCATATTTTGTAACACTTCAACGAATGTTTGATTACCAAACTTAAATATTTCAAAGCGAGCAATGACAACTCTGTACGGGGGGGGGGGGTTAACATTTGTATCTCTAGCGCGCAAGACTGTGTATCGGAAATTCTGAAAACAATCTCATTTAAAAATTATTTTGCGATATTGCTGGTGAACTGAATTTTAATTGTTCAAGTGCGAACAACATGATGTTTAATAAGTAAAGGTAACACACGAAACGTTGAAAAAAAAGGTCCCTCTGGGCATAATATAAAATCTGAAAACGTTCAGATTTTTTTATTTTTTTATTTTTTGTTTTTTTTACTTTAACAACAAAAACCTTTAAAAAGTATAGTATAATTTTTCGCGGTGCTATTGTACTAGTTTAGCAGAGCTTTAAGTCAGCTTTAAATTCGGAATATCAATTTTTTAGTGAAGCTAATATGAACAACGAAAGAAATTAACGAAAATTTAAGACACTGTTCGAAGCACTTCATTGGGAGAGGAAGTAATTTTAGAGAACAGCAGGCGATCTTTCCACGCTGAAAACTAGATTACATCAGAGCCTTTCTTCAGTTCATTCTTAATTGACAAGCTTGCCGTGAATAGGTTACATTTTAGTATTGATTAAGTAGAAAACGCCCCTAAACCATGGTACTTTACTATGGTTTGAAATCCTCGCGAAAGGGTTAACTGTTTAAATACGGTCTTACCATGTAGGACATAAATACGAATGTTTCCCTTAGAAAATCCTCCATGAAAGCTTCTCTAGCCTTTAGGCACATAGCCCCTTGCCTGATTTGCCGTATTCAACTAAAATAAAAAATAATAAACAGGTCAGGTTTGACACGATTGTAAGTTGATTTAAAAGACAGTATTTCATTCATTTTAAACGACCCATTACTATTAGTTACCAGAGAAATACTGTTCTTATTATAAGTAATCATATTAGTATTCATAACGAATTAGTTTATCATGCGCATGTTAATTAAAAATTATTGTTAACTTGCAATGCAGATACGAAAGACATTATAGAAGGTTTATTTAAGCCGCAAATAGGATTTTAAAAGTGGGAAACTGGAGGAAATGATAAAAAGTGACTTTGAATTTAAGCCGCACCGTTAGGTCTTAAATATCTGAATAAAAAGTGTGGTTAAATTCAAGTTATACGGTAATGTTCTTTGCTTTTAATAGATTTGCTTGCATAAATCAACAGAATTCATTTTTTTCTCCAGGTGAGCCGAATATGCAGGAAGAACGTGATATGCGAAGTTGTAAATATGAAGAATGCAGAATGTGAAACCGCGCGAGAGAGTAAGTACTTTTCAATTTGACTCCTTTAGAAAGAAAACAAAGCATATTTTAATAATTGCGGTGTCAAGACCTCAAGCTAAGTTTTTTTTTTTTTTTTTTTTTTTTTTTTTTTTTTTTTTTTTTTTTTTAAAGCCCAAGGGAACAATTTGGCAAAAAGGGCCATTAATTTCGTTTTGGCATTTTGCGTTGGTTTACTATAAATATCGGTTCACTTTTCAAACTGTTGCCACTAAATATTAGAACCCTGTATTATAGTCTGCATACATTAATTGTGATAAAAAATCGGTACCTAGAGCCATCCAATTTTGAATGACGTACGTATCCACCCGAATATGAGCATCTGGAAGACCAAATCTGGAATTTTTTTTATTATCTATTCCATATTTTTTAAAGCATTTACGAGTTTTTTATCAAGAAACTCAACGATTTCAAAGCGAGCAGTGGCAACACTGTACAGGGAAAAAAACATTTTCATCTCCAGCCCGCGAGACTGTGTATCGGAAATTCTAAAGATATGCTGTTTTAAATATTTTGCGATATTGCTGTTGAAATGAATTTTATGGTTTCAGTGCAAAGAAGAAAGATATTTAATAATATTCAGAATGTGATATTTAATAATTAAAGGTAACGTACAAAACGTTAAAAAAATCCCTTTGGGCGTAATAAAATATCTAAAAAAGCTTTCAAATTTTCTTTTCTTTCTTCCTAGTTTTTTTTCTCCCTTTTTTCTCCTTCTTTACGCTTTTTTTTTTTTTTTTTTAATGACTGAAAACTTGTAAAGCATTCGCTGGCAGTTGTCGAACATATGGTTACTTAGCTGTCTCATCACCAGTACCATTGTCTGGCGTGACAAGTACAAAAAATTACACATATTGGCAAGACTTATCAGAGTTGAACACACAGTGCTGGCTTTCTGGGCTGACTGTAACCTTTCTGCCTGTACAGCGGCCACACTGTAATCTCTTACTTCAGCGTTTCTTAAACTTTTTTCAGTCGCGACCCCTTTTTATAACTGAGATTTTTTTCGCGACTCCCAGGACCCCTAATATTTACAAAAATTTTGTGGGACCCCCATAAGTATTGCGCAAATGCGACACACACGGGAGTGAAACTGTCATTTTTTTTCACTTGTACTGTAATATACTATTGCAGCTTCAAGTCATTAACTTTAATTTCTAATTTTATGACATAGGATAATGTGAAAATTTAAAATACTTTATCGTCACGAGCAAAGCAAGGAAAATGAACGTTTATATTATAAAAAGAATGCGTCGAAAGTTTGGTTTTTTTATTGGGTATTTTTTATCTTTATCTATTTGCGAAACATTGGTAAAAATTTGGCAATTGTAAAATTATTATAATAAGTGAAGAATATCAAAAACTGCTAAAATTTTTTGGACCCACAATTTAAGAAAAATCGGATTTAGATGATATCTAGCTAAATATTTACAATACTGATGATCAAAGTTAGGAATTTAGGAATCACTAACAACTATTAAAGGAAAAACACCCTTTTTTAATCTTATGTATTGTAGTATTTTGCGATTGCGTTGTATATATATATTATATATATATATATATGTACTAAGTTTCTTACCTGGCTTTTATGTTCGCAGCCGTTGGTCGTAAAGATACACTTTCCATTACGAAAATGTTTTAAATATTGCAAAGATTCATATTTTTGTATTTTTAAATTTAAATAAAATCAAATGTGCATAAAATACGAAATGTAAACTTTTACAAGGTCCTCGACATATATTCAGGAAAATGTTTTGCTTGTTAGATATAATAAAACAAAAAATTTCATTACTGTACTATGAAAAAATTGTCCAATATTGTTTAACTCTAACTTCTTATGTTCCACAAAGTATACCACGAAGCTTACAAAAGTAAATTACAGCATTAGCAAAATAGATAAACAAGTATACAGTAGCACTACAAATGGGAAAAAATTATTTTATACAGCTAAATAAATAAAAAATAATGAAAACATAAAAAATAAGTAAAACAAATTCTGAAAGCTTTTCAGATTTTATATTACGCCCAAAGGGACGTTTTTTAACGTCTTGTGCTTTACCTTTAATTTTTAAATATCATGTTCTTCGCACGTAAACCATAAAATCCACTTCTACAGTTATATCGCGAAATAATTTAAAAAGAGCATATTTTGAATTTCTGATACACAGTCTTGTACGCTGGAGATAAAAATGTTTTTTTTTTCGTACAATTTTAACATTGCTTGCTTTGAATTCGTTTAGTTTCTTAATCAAAAACTCATAAAAAATGCTTTACAAAATATGAAATAGATAGTAAAGCAAATTCCAAATGTGGGCTTCCAGATGCCCATATTCGTGTGGAGAAGTTCGTTATTCAGAACTATATGGCTCTAGGTACCGTTGTTTTATCACAATGCGAGAAACATGCATACATTTATGCAGATTCTTCAATGTTTAATTTCTTTAAATATAATACATTACGATAGTATTTGGTGTCAGCAATTTGAAAAGTAATTCGCCGTTTATAGTGAATGGACGCAAAATGCCAAAACTAAATTAATAGCTCTTCTGGGTAAATTGTCTCTTTGAGCTAATAAAAAAGTAATAAAATAAAGACAATTCAATAATCTAAATTGAGAGTAAAATTCTGAAAAAACAGAGTCTCTCTAGTCTGAAAAATTTCAAAAACATTGGTGGCCAAGGTACAGGCAATTTTAAAATTTGTGAAATTTGCCGTCATTTTGAATTGGCATTGAGGGTTCAGTTATTTGTAAATTAGAATAATTCAAGGTTGATTTTTTTCTTCTTAAATGCCATTCAGTGAGGCCTATGTGCCTTTATTTATAATTTTGTTACATTTGATATACCAAAAGAATTTTCGCAAAAGTAATTTATAAGTTTTCGAATTTATAAGTATTGCTTGTTTGAAGTGTTTTAGTTTTAACATTTATGAAATTCTTTTTTACATTTATAGGATTTTTTTAAATTTATTACTTATGAATTTCAATTTTTGGGCTTTTGGTTCTAAAAATTGGTTCTAAATTTCTTTCTTAATGTCTTTACTGATAATGTTTCAGCAGCTTAATGCGATTAAAATACTAGGAATGATTATATTATGTTATTTAAAAAAATTGTTTTGTAATTAGGAAATATGCATGAAGAAACATAATAAGAGGCTAAAAGTTGAAAACAAAACTTTTATACCCGTCTTGCGCTATAGCTGCAGGTCTGAAGTAAAATAAACTTAAAGCATCTAAGATTCTGAGTTCGAGTTTCAGTAAAAAGAGATTAATTTTTATTTTTATTATCTTGTATAGTTTTCCCATTTGCATTTTTATTTTTCGAGTTTGTACGACTATGAATTCGTATTTTAATTTTGATTTCTTTTGATATTTTATTAAACCTCTTATACACGGTTGCAATTAAGACACAACAACACGCCGAATAAATACTAATTCAGAAGCAAACAACAAAAATCAGCGTTATATCTGTGGAAATTTTGTAAATATAACGCTGATTTTTGTTGTTTGCTTCTGAATTAGTACGGTTGCAATTATTACCATTGAGAAATTGCATTGCTTTGGCTCCAGTTTATGAACTTGAGATGCTTTAAGTTTATGTATATATACTACATATAGAGAGAAAGAGAGTGCTAATAGAACAAAATCGATTAGATAAACTAAATCAATGCTTCATTTGTTTTGAATCAATGTGCGAAACGTAATTAACGAAAGTGTATGTGCTTTTATATTACTATTGCTCTGTGCTTTTCTGTAATTAATATATGTCTGAGACATGACAATATAACAATTAGTTTAGGATTCTGATGGACTTCATGCATAATTATCCCCTTAAAAAATCGAAATCGTGGTAATACTTTGGCATGAAAATAAGTAGTCAAATAAATGCATGTATGTTATGAATTATATTTTTTTTTTCGTACTGTCAAAATCAGAGTTACATTTTCTTAATTAGCTGTGGTTTCATTTTCTTCACAATTCGCTTTCGATTCGAATTATTCGAAGTTACAAAACTTTCTGATTGTATGACAGCATTAGTAAGACTTATTTTTAAGAGATTTTGAAAAATATTTCTGATGTGTTGTATATTTATATGTTACACACACAATGTGCATTTAAGAATAAATGTTACTGAAGCAGTTTTCGGAGGCCTTACTTGATCGATTGCCTTGCATACACACGATACCCTTGCCAGGTAAATGAATCGTTTCCGGTAGAGCAAATGTTAACGACCCACGCTTCGCACGTGAAACGTGAAGTTGGAGTAGGAGGAGAAGAAAAAACACCTTTGCGGCTAACAGAAATAGTTCTTACTTTTGGCGACCTAGAGTTTTTTCTTTTACTTCAGTTGTATTCTTTCAAAATATTTTTTTTTCTTTCGCAAGAACTATTTTTCCACTCGTAGCTACCGCTACGAATCGTTATTTATTATTTTTTTTTTTTTTTGTCTACCCGCTGAAAGAAAATTATCTATTAACTGTGATAATAGTTTGATAAAGTGGAAGTACAGTTCTTCGATATAGAAATTACATTTTATAATTTCAGGATATACATAAGTTAAATTTTTGAAAATAAAATTGATAAATGAATTCAAATTAACCGTCTCATCACCGAGAAAGTTTTCCGACGTGCGTCACAGGAGAAAGATTAGTTTTACACCCGCGAGAACGGGGAAAATATAAATATTACTCTGTGATTTTGGGTAAAATTTATAGTAGCGGCATTTCCTTTTAATGATGATAACATACTAATTATCAATAATTAATACGGAACAATTTGTAAGATATATTTTAATTTTATAACAGTTGTTTTAATTTAGTGAACCTTTCCTGTCTTGCCTCGTTTCAACTTACACCTCTCTACCAGAATAAGGTTTCAGAAACCATTTGAATGCAAATGAGGAAGAGATAGTATTAACCAGTTAATTGTAATTGACGAATATACTCGTCATGGAGAAGAGGCATGATTTTGTGTATTGACGAGT